AACGACTTCTACAGCTCAGCTGAACGACTACATTGCGATGAGGACAATTTCTCAGTTTCTGTCCACCTATTTTCAATCGGTTCTGTTATTTGCTAAGAAAAGGTACGGCATCGATGTTCCCGACTTCTGACGACCTTACATATTACATAACCAATCGTTTCTGACTTCCGAGCTTATATAACTTACCAGGGGCGGAGCTTCCTATTCAGTTGGTGGGGCGACTGCCCCACCAACTTGGCCCCACCAATAAGCGTTTTGCCCCACCAACTTTAGCTGACTTTTAGGACTTTTTTGCACTAGCTAACCAATCTTTTTCGCATTGGGGAGCTTTGAAATGTCTGTCTGATGTCAAACATTATCTCTGTAATCATAGGCGGCGGAACGGGGAGGGCACCGGGGCACCGTGCCCCCCTTTGATTTTGGCATTTTAATATAAGCCCTATGGGCGTTGCATGGAAAGAATGGGACCAAAAGTCGGCAGTGCCCCCCACCCCCCTAATTGAAGGTGTTCCGCCGCTACTGTCTGTAATGAAAAGAATCGATTCAGTGTTGCACTTTATCTAACTCAACAATTAGGTTTGACGACTTTTTGGCACATCAACTTGCCTGGAAAAGCTCCACCCTTGTAACTTACCGCCCGCAGTATGCATCGGAAATACCACAAGAACAGGATTTTTTTTAGTAGCACTACTAATTTTGCACATACAAATATATTCGTACAATAACATTCAAATATAAAAGGGCTTATCCACAGTTCAGCCGCTAAACAACCACCGTACCACTTCATGTTCCTAAGTTGCGTTATGATCGCTCAATGTTGCAGGGAGCGTAACATCGTAACAATGTACTTCGGTTTGAGCGTAACAGTTGCAACTGTCAGTGGTTGCACGATCGGTAGAAGAGGCTCACCACGGTGTTCATACTGCTCATTTAATATATATATATACAACCCACAGAAAGTGGTCACTGGTCCATTGACTAAGATGATAAATGTCGGCTAAGTAAGCGATTTCTTGTGGCAAGTCATTGACGTAAAAAGTCGCGGGGTTTCTCAGATCGTCAAGAAATCGAAGAAAGGTCAAAACAAAATATCGAGTGCCTGGTTGACTGCAAGCCTGAAAAGCTACTCACATCGCGCGGATGCATGGTGCAGAACAGACAACTGAGAAAAGGCTCGAATACAGCACTTAAGCGAGGATTGGTGCACTCCAGTGAGGATTGGTGACGGCGCCAATACTCCTTGCGTTGCATTGATCGTTGGGAAGATGAGGTCGATTAAGATGACAGAGGACTACTACGAAGCTGATGTCAAGAAGGATGAGGGGTCCAAATTAGCCATGAGCGAGACGTTCGGAAAATAACTATTAAAATCTTGGCCCTGAGGAAGATGAAATCTGTGACAACCACTACGCACGTCAATCGTCTGCCGTGGCTGAAGTCGATAGCCACTGTTTTGCTTTATTGGGTTATGCTCTTTCGGTCTGACGAGACCATTTCAGAGCCGGAAGGATGATGGGAATTAGGGGCAGACATTGGTCTGGGCGGGCACCCTAGTGAGTCGTCGGTGCTGAGCCCATCCAGTGCACAGGTATTCCATCCATCCACTGGTATTCATTGCACCCGGCTACGGGCCTGTGGGAGCTACCCGCATGGGATAAAGTTGCCCGTCCAGCCCGGAACGGGCCGGAGTGGAGACGTGGAGGAGAAGGATTTGACCATTCTGACTCCTGAGGATGGAAACGACGGAACGGAAGAGGATGGCCGCTGGGCCCGGAGCTATTCATATTAGCTATACAGCCTTGGTTGGCACGGCCAGGCGGGAAGCTGAATATTCCAGCGATCATTCCGAAGTACGCGCTCCCAAACAGCCGTTTGGATCAGGCCGGTGGCAGAGAGCCGCTAGTCGAAGAGAACACGCATAGCCGGTAGTCAGCCGCATGTCAAGTGCCGACCTTACGCCATCACCCATGTCGTCATATCTTCACTAGGGACTAGGGAGCGATCCGCCGGTTTTGGTTAGACACACGACGGCAAATTGCTAAATGCTAAATGGACCGTTCCGTCATTTCCATCCTCAGGACAATCAAAATCAAAATCCTTCTTCTCCTAGCCTCAACCCCCTGTTCCGCGCTGGACGGGCAGCTTTATCCCATGCGGGAATGCCCGATAAGAGCACGTCCGTATCCGCGTGCGGTGAGTGCTTGGGGGGCTGGTCGGCCTGTCCTCTGGACGGGCTAGCCAGCCCCGGCGATTCGCCAGGGTACTCGTCCAGACCAATGTCTAGCCTATCATCCTTCCGACCCTGAAATGGTCTCGTCACACCGGAGCCTAACCCAACAAAACAAAACAAACAAACAAACGCTAAATGAGGCATCCAAGGCCCAAAACTCATCGACCAATTCACGACCGTTCTTAGTCAGCCGTTCTTTGTCACGCAAAACATTTTAGATCGAATGGTGGCGTTTTCATCCCGATTGACCTTGTGACTTCAATGTTACGATGACCTCATAATGTCACTGATGACTTCTATGACCATCCTTCGATTCCCCGGCGCCTGTGACGTAATGTTAAAATGTTTAACTGATAAAAGGCTAAGCATTGCATCCACTGGATGGAGCCGACCACACAAGAAGAAGCCGCCACGGGCCACCCTAGCGGTGGCCTTGATCTCTGCTGTCTGTTGCGGCTTCAAAGCCAAGCAACTGTGTGCGGTCGGACCGCACACAGCCTCCAAGCTCCGCCCACTGCGTCCCTACGTCAGCCTTCCGTCACCGCACACAGCGACCGCTGTGACCCTGGTTTTTTTTTTTTTTTTGAATTTTGCTCCCGACAGGCCGAGGCCCTGGTCGGGGTAGGGGGAAGTTACTAGCTGGCAATTGGCCAGATCTTTCGTTTTACTTTACTTTAATGCCGGCTATGTTTTTCCGGCCCGAGGCAATATCAAGAGCAAAGTTTACGTTAGACCGGCTCATGTGACGTCCGGTGGAAGCAAGTGCAAGGGGAAGTCAGAAAGGGTGCCAGAGTGGCAGTACCGAGAGGGATTTTGAGTACTTACATGTCTTGCTGCTGTATCTTGATGCTGAAATGTGGCAGTGTTGTAATGTGTGCTGTTGTTGCGTTGTGAGTTCCACCAGGAAAGTCCTAACTAGAAAAACCTGGTGCCTATCTTAGAGGGCAAAACCTGTGCGCTTTTGCCAAATTGCACAGGAAAAATCCCTTTGCTTTGATATTACGTTACGTTATATCGCTAATGTGTATGTGTGTTTGTGGAGCTATCGCCTTCATCCACTCCCGGGGGCCATGCATGGCAAGCCATCTAGGCCGCGCCCGGGGTGTCCAGCCAGATAGCAAGGAATAGACCCGCCCACGGTGGGCAGGTCCCGATTGCCGCCGCCGCCGCCGGAGGGACGCAACGCGCGCGCTCGCAAACGTAAACGAAATCACGGTGCAACAAGAACAATTGAAACAAAGACAATCACGATGAAACCACGAGAAAAACCAAGAGAAATCAAGAGAAACCAAGAGAAAATCATGTTGTATCCAAGGAGTTGGGGGGAGGAGCCCACCGCCGCGTGCCAATGGTCCCCGAGGCGGCGGCTGGTGCCCGTAAGCTCGGGGCTCCTACAAAACCCCACCAAGTGCTGAGTGCTCTGATGAGAACTGACGTTTTAGTGCGGGCTCCTGTGACGTGTCAATCCATAATAACGGGTCGTTGCGGACGGCATAGTGCCGACTCCTCTGTTGTCTCCAAGCAGTGGGGGGGGGGGGGGGAGGAGCCCGCCGCCGCGTGCCGATGGTCCCCGCGGCGGCGGCTGGTGCCCGTAAGCTCGGGGCTCCTAAATTGACATGGCCAGTCTCGAATTCTTCAGGAAATCAAAAAATCAAAAAATGGAGTCCCGCGCCCAGAACCGCTATCGACGGCTTGCCGACCACGGAACTGAGCGCGAGACTGTGCTATATGGAGCCCGTAGACTCGGGGCTCCTAAATCGAAATGTCTAGCCTGGAATTCTTCAGGAAAGAGAAAAGCAAGTCGAGTAGATCAGGGTGAGAATCGCCGAGGAGAGTGGGAATTGAAAGTACAAGTCGATTGTTTGTAATATACTGGATTATAGGTTGCCTCTCAGTTTGATATTGGGGGCATTGGAGCAAGAAGTGTTCAATTGTGTATCTTAAATTACAACGTTGGCAGATTGGAGGCGGGCCTTGGTCAAAGATATATTCGTGTGTCAATTTGGTATGGCCGATTCTAAGTCTGGCTAGAATGACTTCTTTTAGCCGGGTGTTTTGATGGGCAGTCGACCAGTGCTTGACGATTGGTTTGATTGGGTGGAGGTGGAAATGCGGGTTTACGTCCCATTCGAACTGGATATGTTTTCTATAGGCCTCGTGAATCACGTTAAAAACCGCGTCCACCGCACGCAGCCGTGACGTCAGAACTAGTGATGTCAATTACGGAAAATCGGAATACCGATACCAAACCAAATACCAACCAAAACCACCGGAAATACCGAAACCAAACCAACTTAGGAAACTGAGGGAAACACCAACATTTTACCGATTTCTTAGCCTCTTATACATTAGTGAGGGCTTAGCCCCCCCCCCCCCCCCCAGGTTGAGTTCAGCAGTCGGCACCATCTCGGTATTTATTTACTTTAGGACCGGCAGCCTTTACTTTCGTTGCGAACCTCAAGTGATAGAAAAAAGCATATCACATGACATATTTTGACCGCCTGATTTCATAGCTGATAGTTATTCATGGCACAAACAAGTTTAAATCAAAATGCATCAATACAATATTTACCCTCACCGCCGTACCCCCCACCGACTGCGTACGCCACCACAATCTCTCGTCATTGGTGTAATCCCTAAAAAATACGGGGAAGACGTGTGCGCGAAGAAATGCAAATCTTTGCAAGATGGAGAAATAATGAAGATGCAGCCCGTGCAGACCCCGACCCTGACCCGCATCCCCAACACACAGCCAGCAGTGCCGACTCACCGTTTTTCAAAGATATGTGTGAGACATCTGTAGCAACAAGCAGTCCCTCAGCAGACACCAGTCGAGAAGCTATCTTGAAAACTTAACTCACATCACCCACATCACCCTTATTCCACCATCATATTCATCCAAGAGGGATACCCAAGGCGGGATACCATGGACGCATGCATCACAAACTGATACTTCAAGGCTCCAAGAATGCCTCCACAACAAAATAGCATAATTACGAGCACTAGGCAAGTATATGTCGTTAATACCTAATCATCATTTACTTAGACATTAAATCATCAGCAAAAATTACGAAAATTTATTAAAAATGCAGACAACGTTTAAAACAATAATCATGACAACAATTGGAAACAATATTTATCCTTAAATTTTCTATTTTACGTCAGTAAATTTATCTCACAAAAAGCAGCGACCTACTCTGCGACAAATGCTGCGCCATTATCACATTTGGCGTTTCCGCACATTTTTTGCGTGATGCTGATGCATTTCAAAATTCTTGCAAAATTCGAATTTACAGAGTTTTTTCTTACTTCAGTGCAAAATTCGAATTTACAGAGTTTTTTTACTTACTTCAGTTTGTTTGGGCCATTGTTTTTATGGTGGACGTTCGGGGGTGGTAAATAGAGGCAAGAGGGTAGGTACTATTTTGAGACCGCAGTGCAAATTGTGGCACTTTTTATCATATTTTTCAAATTCTTGTAGATTGTAAATTATTAGATCATGTGTAGTCGACTACAGAATGATGTTCCACTTTTCACAGGCAATTATTTGCATGGAGTGGTAGGCTGTGCCACATCACACGGGCTCAGGCTGAGTTCACAAATTATAGCTTTGTCCCAATGCTCACAATCGACACGCTTAATTGTGTGATAAACGGCACAACTTAGCGCTCCGGTCAAATGATAGCTTCTGAGGAGTGGAACATCATTCTGTAGTCAACTATACCTAATTTATATGTTTTTTGAACAAGTTGTTAATTTCTTTTGGGTTATTTAGGGACACTAAGCTGCATGCCCCACTGCGGTGCGAAATGGTCTAAAGACCGAAGCACCTAACCAACAAAAGAAAGATGCCCCACTGCCACTTCTCCTGTTCTGCCGCCGTCTTTATACAGGGTATAAAATTCATATAGCTTTAAAGTACCAGTAGATATTATAATTCATGACTTGAAGAATAGTTTCAATAATTTTAATTGCATTGGCAATGAAGATTGGCCTTAAATAATAGTGTGTTTAGTAAAATTGTGACCCATCTTGAAAAAAAAACTTCTGTTTCCAGATTTTCGATTTGTGCAATTCTGGTATAAACCATCCAGATCTGGTTACACAAAGCTGCAATTGAACAAGTCATGAGTGGTAAATTGGCACCCAGTAAGAGCACAGTGTATCTGGCAAATTTGCCATTTGCTCTCACTAACAGTGACATTCATAAGCTGTTGGAGAAGCATGGACGCGTGGTTCGCGTCACCATCATGAAGGACCGACAGACGCGCCGCAGCAAGGGCGTGGCCTTTGTGCTGTTCCTGCACCGTGAGGAGGCAGCGGCGTGTGCGGCCGGCCTCGACGGCCACCAGCTGTTCGGACGCACCCTGCGGGCCTCCCTGGCGCGCGACAACGGCCGCGCCGCCGAGTTCGTGCGCCGCAGGGAGTACCCGGACAAGTCGCGCTGCTACGAGTGCGGTGAGACGGGCCACCTCTCCTACTCGTGTCCCCAGAACACGCTCGGGGAGCGGCCTCCGCCTCCCAAACGGCCGCGCAAGAAGCGCCGCAAACCGCCGGCGTCCTCCGCCGCCGGAGGCGCCGAGGAGGAAGACGAGGACGAGGGAGAGGACCCGCGCGAGGAGTCGCTGGCGGCCGCCATCCGCCACGAGCAGGAGCTGCGGGAACGGGAGGCGGTCGGCCACAGTGGACAGCGGTCACCGCCCAGGGAGGCGACTCCTCCGGACAGAGAGTCCTGGCTGCGCTCAGAACTGGAGCTCAGTGACTGAGGTGGACAACTGACAGCTCCTTCATCGTACGTACGGAATGGACTCAAAGGGCTGTTGTGAGTTTTTTTATTTGTTGGCTCGTGATTAGGTGTAAGGTACGTCCTATTCCATTTTAGTCATTTAGTGTGACGCATATTTTTGACAATGAATACAGTGGTGGTAGTGTGTATTGTTTGTTCATAATGAAAGTCCATGATCGATCACAATAAAACAAAATAATAACGTCAGTTTTGATAAAGCCGATGAGCTTTGCTACCAATCTTGTAGAGCTGGCCTCAGAACGCTGAAATGTTTACTGCTCTCGACGGAACTGTCCGAGATAATTGATACCTTTACGATAAGATCCGTTGAAATCGTGAGTCTCTTGTGCTGGTTTCGGGTCTATTGGTCGTGGCGAAAAATACTGAAGCTATCTAAATATGTTCTCCCCATTGTGTCCTTCCGTTGATGTATGTATTTGCTTCGATGCCTTCTTATCCTCGACGTACCGTGATATGGCTTATGGCATCAGTGGAGGAACTACACCGGCATCTGCTTGCCTGGCAGTGATATCTCGGTAAGTCACAACTCACAATCGTTCCATTTCAAGGTGGGGAAAATACAATCCCGCTTTGGAAGGACGGGCGGTTGGCGTTACTTGCGCTCGCTCTGAAATTTATTATAAGTGAGACGCCGCTGAAGCTCAGCACTGAAATTTGACAACTTAAGTTTTGTGTTTAATTCCAGATAAGGTATCGGGAAGAGTCGCCAGGCCTAAAAAGAGGTTTAACTACTTCACACGTTAGCGATTTAGTTTTATCAGAAGTTTGGAAAGTTTGCATTCTGTGTACAGAAATATGTTTTAGATTTTAACTGTAAAATGACCCAGTATCCACGAAGCGTTGTTCCGCCGATCTACAGTTTACACCGTAAAGCCGTACACGGTGCTACTGTCGTGTTCCAGCCCGGCGGCTCGGAGTGTGGCGGTCGCTGGGCGGCGGGTAGCGGCTGCCGTCGCGCTGAGTTGGCGGCGGCCGGCGCCCGTCAGGACGGGTATTCCTGGCCGGCCGGAGACGCTATTTTGGCGGGGCCCATCGGTCGGAGTCGGCCCAGACGATCGGTCGCTGCGGACGCAGCCACAGGTGAGTCGCCGCCGCCCACCGGCCGCGCAGACGGAGCCCACCTCCGGGCAGGGATTGACCTCGGTCCAGCCGGCCCTGACCTCGGCCTGAGCAAGACCAGACCTCGGTCTGGGGATGTTGACCTCGGTTCGAGGCCGAGCAGGTCCTGACTTCGGTCTGAACCGGCCCTGACCTCAGGTTTAATCGACCCTGACATCGGTCTTAACTGGCCCTAACACCAGGCTTAGCCGACCCTGACCCCGGTTCAGACAAGTGCATTGGACAGTGACCTATGTCAAGCATGCGCTTTAGGCTGGGCCCAGGTCATGTTAACAGCTGTCTTGTCATGTCACTAATCCAGGCGAAGATGTGGCGTTGGTGGCTGTGCCTGTTTGTAATTGTACCTATGCGTGCGTGTGTTTATGGTTGCGTGTTATTTGGATCCGTGTGTGTATGTGTGTTATCCTATGGCTCTGTCAGATGTCGCTGTTTGCGACATTCTTCTGTGGCTCCTTCGGAGCGCATCCGATGCATTTGGACTGGTGCCGAGCCGGGGCTGGACTGGTGCCGGGTATTGGTGGAGTGGTGCGGACTGCAGATGCAGAACAGCCCAGGACAGGGTCCGGACTGGTGGTGGACGGGGCGGGGAAATGCCGGACTGCTGCCCGATGGCACTGGTCTGTGTGGAATGGAACCAGGTTGGATTGGTTCTGGGCTGGTTGTGGGGTTGGAAATTGGAATAGTGTCTGGTGTCTGGCAGGGACTGGTTCCCAGTGGTGCTGGCCTATCCTGGACCGCTGTGGGCTGGTGCAGGCTGGTGCCGGCGCCGTGCAGCGTCCCGTCTCCGCCAGACCACTCATCGCTGGCCCTCCGCCAGCTCGCGGAGATGGCTCCGGAGAATGGGGCGGAGCCCGGTCACCGGACCTCGTCTGCCAGACCGACGCCGCGCTGGAGCAATCGGCTCACCGCAATTCAGTGTTTTGACGCTTCCCAGCATTGCGTAATGTAGTTTGGAGTACTTATAATTTTCATTTGATACCGATATCGGACTGTTCTTGAACTAGTCTGTTTCTCTTTCATTGGCTTCGGTTACCTCTGCTGAATCAGAAACGAATTGGATCGCAACGATGCCTTCTCGGTCCACAATCACATTAGGATGCCATAAATCCTGAAAGTGAAGGTTGTTTTGCCTGTATTTGCATGAGTGTTTTGCTGAAAAGTAGAACACACTTGAAAATGCATGGAATTCGATAAGCATTTTCTTGGAAATTTACGTCAATATCTGCATTCTTCCGCGCTCCGGGAATATCTAAAACCGCTAAAACATATAAATTACAGTAGCATTATCTTTATCGCGGCCTGAAAAGCATGGACGGTGGATAAGAAAACGCTAACAATACCTATGAATGTAATTGTATCATTGTCTCATTCACAGAATTATTCACTATCGTGAGCATGCACACTTTTCATGTAGCATTTTATTCCCGAATGAATGAAGCCGGCCATTGGGTTATCCCCTGGCAGATGGAAGATTTCAGCCGGATTTTAAACCTTCAGAAGGGTTCGGGATTAGCTACTGCGTCCACTTCAATGCGTTATGGCACGACATTGCACACGATCCGTTCTTGCCTAAACGCTATCAAGATTTTTCTGAACACCACAAACAGGCATCAATCACAGCATAATGAATGAAATCAGCGCAAACAATGAAAGCTCAACGTGATATGGTAAAGATCAGTCTCAGCGTTACGTAATGAAATCAGTCCGGCACATCCTCGAAAACTGGCTGAGGAAACTTTTTAACAGAACTGATGTGTAAGTCATGTCTTTTCTCCCGCTCTCGGCTTATTGTATTTATCCAATCAGAATCCCAGCAGTTTGTATGCCTGCCCCCCCCCCCCCCCCGCCCTCGTCGTGTTCGGGGCTACGATTGCCAGCCCTAACTCATTGACTGTGCTAGTCTGAGGCACGGGGAGATTGCATATCGTGTGGACGGGGTCCGTGACCAAACCAGCAGGTTAATTGACCAGATCAAGCCGCCCTAGACCCATAAGCCCTGTCACTGTGTGCCGTTTAAGTGTATAAGATTCCATAAGTCGCTTATAACCGGACAGGTGACCTCAAGCTGTGATTTCTCTTCCAGATCGAGTCACTCGATCGTGCCGGGGGTGCGGTCCTTGTCGTTCGACGAGGACGCGCCGCTGCCTCAGCTGCCGGCCTGGGTGGCCGACCCGCGCCGCACTGTACCGCCAGACGGCGCCGACAGCGGATCAGGTGAGCAGGTGAGCACGGCGGCTGATGCTCTAATGGCAGCTTGCAACTTACAAATGGTGCTCGCTAACTCGCCTGACGCCAGGGCGATGTTTCACGGCCGCGCGCTGCAGCGCGCTGCTGTATTGGTGCAGCGTTTGAGACGAATTCGATTCGACCCTTCAGCGTTGCGAGCGTCCGAGTTTGTTGATGTTTCCCAACGCGCCGCTGGTATGCCGTAGCTCCCAGCGCGCGCAGCGTCGGGACGGTGAAACAGGGCCCAGCTACCACCGCACCTTTTTTTTTAAAGAAAATACACTGATAATTCAGCTGCTGTCGGACCCACGGCGACCCTGCCATCGTCACTCAAAGAGCAAAAAACTTACATTATTCACAGCCAAACCAACACTCAAATTTCTCATTGTGAAGATTGATGTATGAAATTGATTTTGCCGGCTCGCCCACTTATAAGAAAGTTTGCGGTACTGTGGCCTGCAAAGGCGGCAGGGCTCTAGCGCGCGGAAGAAGATTGCAATTTCGTTCGGGGATTAATAAGCTATTTTCTGCTGGGACTCGTCTACTGTCGTCTACCACACTGACGTTTGGTCACGTGGTTACTGTTTGGGAATTTCAGGCAATTTTGTTTCTTCGAGAAATTTTGGGGCATATTTCGTAATAATTTAGAAATCAATAACAATTTTTGAACAATTTGCTGGTTTACTTCTGTGCTAAGGAAATAAAATTTATTATGCTAAATTTTACCACGTGACTGAATGAACAGTTGAGGTACAGAACACACGAGGGAGGCTATCTGTCGCTAACGCCCACTTTTATCTTCGCTTTGCATTTTGCGTCTCTGTAATTTGTGGATTGTATGTGGATTTGTGTTATTAAATGAGATAATCTCTTACAAACCAGCAAGGCGAAGACACTTTCTGCAGGGGTCCTGGCTCGTCCTTTTTTCTGGACTTGGATGCAATGGATTCATTTGAGGAGAATTTAGATGAACGTGAAGGTGATAACTGTTCAGGTTATTCTATTTTTACTTTCTTATGTGGTACTGTATGGTATGCTCTGAAGTGAGTAAATACAATAAGTCTGATTTATCGTCCAAGCACAAATTTTGCATATTCTTGCTGGTACTTACCTACTAACCTACCTGCTACCTACAACCTACCAGTCTACAGCTACAACCTATAGCATACCAACCTACAACCTACAACCTGCCAAGGCTCTAAAACATAACCTACAACCTAGATACAATTTCTGCCATTGCATATTTGTAGCAACCGAGCCACAATTGATGATCAGACCTTTTGTAAGTAAATAGCGTGATTTGATGTCATATCCAAGTTGTGACTTGTGAAGCATGCTCATTGCTCGTTACCTAAATGTGCTAAAATTGTTCTTCTTGAATCACTACTAAGCAAAACACTTAATGGGTCTGTACTCTGTTATCATGGCTAATACAAAAAAAAAACTCAGGAGTTATGATGAGCTTGAAGGAGAGCCTTTTCAAAGCAGCCTCGGAAACAGTTCTTTGAGCAATCAGCTGATTCGTGGCTGTACAGTGGACAATTTATAGCACCCCAATATCAATTTTAGGATAAGCGAAACTGTGGAAAATGCAAAAATTTGGAATTTATTATTAGAAAATATCCAAGTATCATTCCAGTGTCTCAAAATTGAGTTTTGTCTTGGGTGTCAGAGGGGAAAATTACCCACCAAAAAGAGGGGAGAGAGTGGAAAACTGCTGATTCGATTAGATCCAAAAAGAGTGAGAAACAGCATAAAGCATGCATTTTATTCTGGGGTGTAGAATGTTTGATGCTAAACGGGGCATCCACACAACTGCTCTTTCTATATGTAAAAAATCGGTTTTCTTGGTTGGGAGTGGAAAATTGTTCTTAAAAATTGGTGGTGACTGGTGAGAGCGAAAAATGAATTTCATTTGGATGTCATTTCCCACCCAAATCGACAAATTTTGGGACATTGTATCATTCCCTCCTCAATTGTTAGGTACTTACATTTCCACCCCACTCAAATATCATTTATCTCTTTGTCTCTTTGTGGGTATCTCTTTGTGGGTATGGTTTGTCATGAGCACTTATTGGTCCTGCTGTTATTGCCTCTTAAACCCCAGACAAGTAACAAACAGACATGTAAAGCTGACATCATCTGCTGCCCTCCACCCACTGCAGAAATGGAGCCCACCGACACTGATGACGACATTGACATCCGCGGCGACCCGGCGTCTCTGCCACCAACTCTGTATGTGTTGGAGCTGGCGGCGGGTGTGCCGGCAGCCACGGTGGACTGGTACATCAGCCGGGTGCAGGGTCGCCGCCGGACCGGCGGTGCTGAGCTGCTCGTCAGCGCCCAGCCCCAGCTGCCGGGAAAGGTAGGTGACTTCTGTCTCCAGATCATCTGTTGATGTGTATGTCAGATGGTTATACATGTTGGTGGCATAAACAGTAAATATATGAACAAGTGGAGCACTGAAGGGCACTTTTATTCACTTTTTCCTCATTGACCATTTCTTCTAATAGCGGATCTTGGCATGTGATTTGGTTACATATTATCAGTTGATGTTTAAATGGCTCAACGGCAGGCTGATAGATCACAATAGACAACAATTAATTTGACATGTTTTGTTACATACGACCTTGATCCTTGAACATGCATTGCTGCATGTTGCAGGGCTTGGTGCTCCATCTGACCGCATCCCGTATCAAACTGCTCGAGACCGCCGAGCGCATGGAGCTGAGGAAGAAGGACCGGGACGGTTACCTGCGCGACTTCACCTGCGCCGAGCTGGACGAGTTTCTCGGCGAGGGTGGTGTGGACGGTCTCCTAACCATGTGCGAGAAACAGCGGATCGTGCTGCACGAGCTGGAGCACATCCGGGCGCGCTCGGCCGAGCACCAGCTGCCGGGCTACCCGAGCATCCAGCTGTTCCCGGGCCAGAGCGTCACGCGCCTGCTGCTGCAGGAGGGCATCATCGCCCAGCTGTTCCCCGTGCACGACACGGCCGAGCTCGAGCGGCTAGGCAAGTCGTGGTACGCGGCGCTCTTCCAGCGACAGCCGTTCGGTGAGACATTCTCCAATCTCCCCCCCCCCCCCCCAGGCGTCCTGTTGTCTTATCGCCCCTGGATTAGCTGATGGATTATCGTAATAGATTACTGTAACTACTAGCTAAGCCATGTTATCGTTTAGGGCAGCTGACTTTGACAAGCTTGGCAACGGATGGATCGAGCATAAAAATGAGCAACTATGTTTTCTTGTTGATATTCGTAGAAGGTGCCTTTTCCTGCGGAAGGTAACAATTTCTGTTAGAACAATCTTAAAGCTGAGTCACAATCGCGCCATTCATTTCAAATATCGTAATATCATGTGATTCAATGTGTTTAATCGAACCGCCCTCCCTCCTGTGTATGGACAGAGGACATCCGCGCCTACTTTGGCGAGTCGGTGGCACTGTATTTCTCCTTCCTGGGCTTCTACACGACGGCGCTGTGCGGCCCGGCGGCACTCGGCCTGCTCCAGCTGGTCTTCTCGGTGGACACGCTGCACGAGTACGCTCTCTACTCGCTCTTCAACATGCTCTGGGTCACCGTCTTCCTCGAGGTAAGTTTTTTGGTCCATAATTGAAGGCTGTGATATGCGGCTGTTTGCGATTCCGGCGAAGGTGGTGCAAGCGACTTCTGAGTGTAGTAGCATGCTATAATTCAATCAAATCGTGCGTCACTGATGCGGCGTGTGGTTCTTGTCACTTCAAAGCGGTAATAAGCTTTTTTTAGAAAAGTCTTGAAAGCATGCATGCAAACACCGGGACACCGTTTGTTTTTGTGCGGAGCAGGTGTGCCATGTTCCCATTAACGCCTCTCTGACGTGTTCGCAGGCGTGGAAGCGGAAATGTAACGAGCTGGCGTACGTCTGGGGCGTGATGGACAAGACGCAGATGTCGTTCCTCGAACCACGGGCCAACCACCGCGGCGAGATGGTGCGGGACGAGATCACTGGACGCTACATGCCCTACTACCCGCGCTGGAAGACGCTACTCAAGGTGAGACCATCGAAACAATGGGACTGGTTCTCAGCTGTCCTGTGACAACGTATCATGTTACTGACGAAAGTCCGTCGTTCTATTCGCGGCAGCAAGTGTCCGGTCGGCAGTGTGGTTGTGATTATGAATAAGTCGGCAGATCTACGTCATGGCCCCCAAACGTGCACTGTGGCGCTGTGTTCGATACTGACGGTACTTTACTGTACCTCTGACGGGTGTCCGTCTCTCTGTCTGCCCGCAGCTCTACCTGGTCTCCATCCCGGTAGTAGTGGTGTGTCTGTTACTGACTAGCTCTGACGGGTGTCTGACGCGTGTTCCCGTCTGCCCACAGTTGTACCTGGTCTCCATCCCCTTCGTTGTGGTTTGCCTGATACTAACTGTACCTCTGACAGCTGGTGCCGTCTCTCCCCGCAGCTATATCTGGTCTCCATCCCCTTCGTTGTGGTTTGCCTGATACTAACTGTACCTCTGACAGCTGGTGCCCGTCTCTGCCCGCAGCTATATCTGGTCTCCATCCCGGTGGTGGTGGTCTGCCTGTTCGGCTCGTTCTACCTGATGCTGGTGTCGTTCTGGGCCGAGGAGTACCTGACGCTGCACCGGGACCAGTACGGCGGCAACCTGGCCGCCGTGCTCATCATGCTGCCGTCCGTCATCTACTCGGTGGTGGTACTGGTGCTCAACCAGTACTACAACAAGATGACCACCTTCCTCACCGAGTGGGGTCAGTCGATCAGCGCTCAGACGGATGTCTAGTGTGCTGGCGGACCTTGCGACCGCCTCCCGCGCTGGCTTAGGGTTGTCACCGTCACACGCTGGCGAAAATTTTGCCTCGATCAGCGGTTTTTAGTAGTCATGCGTTGATTTGCCGTTTTGGATCTGGATAAAGGCACTAAAGGTAATGGTAGGACAGCTGCATTGCATGTGCTGAAATAGCTGGAACCTGTACAAAGTTTAGCAAAGCAACTCGTTCGAGCTTATCGCTATGATATCCTTTTGCTGTATGGGCTCGTGGAACAAAAATATGTATATTATTTCTGAAGAAGCCACATCTATAGCAAACCCATTTTGCCTGCCAATGTTTTCAGTGAGATCCAAAAGCTGTTCTGGTTTTTCACAACACCTTACACGCATTATCACAAATCACAATAGGCCGCTAGCTAGAGTTGTCCGAGCAGAATGTGCGCCGGTCGGTGTGACTACACAGGGCCCGAGCGGGTGACGATCGCAGGCTCCTCTCCCGTGACTCGATGACTAGACGTGGGTCGAGCCGGAGCGGTGTTTCGAGCCGGCCAGCTCAAAGAACAGCAGCTCGTGGAACTATTTGTAAGTTTCACTACGATTATACTGTTGACATGATACTTGACTGAAGATTTGATGTGTTTCAGAGAATCACCGCACGCAGAAGCAGTTTGACTACTACCGCGTCATCAAGCTGGCACTGTTCGAGTTCGTCAACAGCTTCATGTCGCTCTTCTACATCGCCTTCTACATACAGGACTTGGAAATGCTCAGAGGGGTAAGTGGCCGGCTCTAGGCTCTGACTCTGAAAGGGACAGTCTGGAACAGCTATGAACGTTGGAGATTCCCTGTGGGTGGAGATAGCGTGGTCATGGGTGTCCAACGGGAAAGGGTGGTGTTTTTTACCACAAAGTCTATGGACTCGTTGAATATATCGATGTTTCGGTCCTTTTTTAAACTCAGTTTTGCAAGATAATGTAACTCTGTTCCAGTGTAATTGCTGAAACGTGACAGCATTAGCATTAGCCAGCGACGTCGATTTGAAACTTTTTCATTTTGCTCTTTTCACGGACCCACATCATGGCTCCACATCCCATTTATCGTCTTTCAGGCTGTGACCGATTTAACGATTCTGTTACAGCAACTGGCCGTGATGCTCATCATCCAGCAGCTGGTCAACAACTTCCAGGAGGCTCTGCTGCCCATCGTCATCCGCACCACATACTCAAAGGTAGCGTGCGCGGCGTAGCTGGTCCGGGGGCCACCGCAACTCGCTCAAGTTACAGGACAATGACACACGGATCCCACAATAGTGATGTCTCGCATCATTACTCCACTTGGCGCCAATGGACATTGACAGTCCTGGCGTTCTGTAACACAAATCGTCCTCACCATCATAAACCACCACATTGACGTGCTGTCTGCCGTCTCCAGGTTCAGGAGAAGGTGGTGACCAAGCTGAAGGAGCACAAGCTGACCCGGAAGCTGTTCGAGAGCCGCACCCTGGACGCGGTGGACGCTGATGACGCACGCGTCAGAGTGAGGACGCTGGAGCCGGACGACCCGCGCGTGCAGGATGTGTCGGAGCAGCTGCAGCTGGAGCCCTACCCGGTACGTGGACGACTGGAAGCGCACACAAACCGTCCCGCGCGCACACACACACACACACACACACGCTTTCATGGTAGGGGAGAGTGGGGTAATTTGGCCGCTTTTTTTAGAAAACGATATACCTTGAAATTGACGACACATTTCTGCATTTTCTCAACGCTGGCAGGTGTCGCATTCATTTTACTTTACTGGACAGTGAACTTGAAATGATAGAGTAATTACTCATATTGAAATTGTGACGTATTACAAAGGTCTGCAAGGCGGCCAAATTGCCCCACTAGCAGGGTTATTTGGCCGGGGGTGTGGGGCAATTTGTCCGTTGTTAGTTTGCGGTCGGGATTTTCTGTTATATTGCGAGTCAGCTTCAGATTCAGCAATGACGTGTGTCCTATGACGCATTTGCCGCATTTTGGAGGTTGGCTCAGGGGTCACAGGGATCAAAATAGCCAAATTAGCGGCTCTAGATGCGATCACAGTTTTTTACGAATAACTTTTGAAGTAATCAAGCTAGGCCAAAACTTCGAGTACCATCGTAATTATCCCGTCAGTCCGCATCGAAAGATATATGTGTTGACCTTGAGAAGTCAAGGTCAAAGGTTGACCTCAGGTCACGTTGCATCAGGTCGCTTGACCTCAAGGTCACGTGATTTCAAGGTCATCATGTATATCATTCGATGCGCCTTGGCGAGCTGAACAGAATGAGACCATTTGTGCGGCTGTACCATTTTTATGTAAGGATTAATTAGCAAAAAACGTTTGGTAACCTTTGATGACGTCACATGCTCTTACAGTTGACCAATCGGAAGTAAGGCATCAAAGTAGTCAAAGTTGGTCATGAATCATGTCATTTATGGTACAATTGACCATGAAAACTCTGCCGTCCCAGCATAGTGACCATGAGCGCACCGGCCAAGTTGCCCCGCTAGTCCCGGCCAAATTCCCCCGTATTGCCATTCTGAAAATTTTTGTCTATAAAGTCATCACGGCTTTACGGAATTAGATAAAATTGCTCTTGGAACCGCTGAACACCCCCAAGAATGGCGCTATAATGTCTGAATTCGTTTGTAGCCCAAATACTACATGTTATACAACTTTGTAAACAGAAGTAAAAGTGACCATTTTCTAATGAAATTAACGTTTTATTAATTTTGAATAAAACTACGAGGGGTAAAGTTTTGACATTTGTCCTCCAGTTATTTCTACCCATGACAAATGAATAGAGACTAGAGTTGTTTCACTCACTTTTATTAGACTCCGTACAGGTGGGGGCGGCCAATTTACACCACCGGCCAAATTACCCCACTCTCCCCTATATCTGGTCCCACAGCACAGCACAGCACAGCCGGAAAAATGCCCTCGGCCTTTTTAGTATGTTTGAGCTACCTGGTGAGTGGCAAGCTTGGTCAAAGCACTTTTGCAAAGATGTTTTCAGTGTTAACTGCACTTAAATTCGAAATAGCAGACACGGCAGCGGGCAGACGGGCGATTGCAGCGCCACTCCACGTCTGGACCTGTGGAGAGAACGGGAACTAGTGTTACGGGCTGTCCTTCACACAACGTAATGCCGTTTTATGTCTTTTTTCACCGTTTTAGTTTCTACGCATGTGTTTATTTGGTGTACCTGACTGATGCCAGCAAGTATTCAACTATGTCGATTTTTGAGCTGTTGCGTGTTTCAGATACATATCGAGTAACTGCCCGTTTTGGCCTTTTCGTAATGAAGTTTGTCATATTTTTCTCCGCATTAGACATCAGTCGCACAGTACTACAGAATCGCTCTACTTATCGTTATCGACCATTGCAATAGTCAATGACCATCACTGGGTAAGATTGATTTCCCAACGAATTGTTATTTAAGTTCCAATTTAAGTCACAAACGCCGCACTCCGTATTCGCTTTTTTAATGAGCCTTCTACACTTCCTTGTCGGCTGTCGCCTCATGCATATTACATTAACGAGTTATTACAATACATGTTCACATTCACCATCTATGTGCCTGATAATAGCATATCGTATTGTGAGATACAGTCATACATATCAAATCCACTTGACTGAAAATACTACCCGCTTGGGGCGGGGAGATGATGTGCTGGATTTGTTGAGTGTTTGTAGCTTATGTCTAAGTTCCTCAATGTTACCACATGTTATTCAGTTGGTGTTTGCTTAGTGATGTTATGGTGTGTCTGGTCATCACTAAAATGGCCTGTACTGAAATATTTTTCCTCAGTGAACTAATGATCATCACATCATTTCCGCCATATATCTAGAAACTGGGCGGAAACATGGCTCATGATTTTAGTCTGTTCACAGTCACAGCGGTTGATCCCTTTCCTCTTGTCCGTCATAGTTATTAGTCATTTACTGTTGTGCGCTGGCTGGCAACGCAATTGCGGACAGTAGCGTAAGCGTGAGCAGCAAACGTTCTACTCAACGGTATAATAAGGCGCTAAGTTTGAATTTTTGTGAAAATTTCCGTTTTTATTCCTGATCGTGACTCGTGAGTCGAGTTTATAGGTGCAAAAGGTGCAAAAGTATGTGCCCATTATGTGCTATATATTATATTATGTGCTACTTTTATCAAATCAGGGCCGGGAGGAGGATGAGCCCTCCTGTAATTGGGACGATCAGTGCCCGTTGGAGGGAGGCCTGAATAAAAAAAATGTCCATGGTCCACCTTCTTTGACGAATGAAAGCTGTAACAATACTGCTTTCTATGTATGATTGCTTGATTGCTATCGTACGGGATCAAACAGCGGCCACACAGTGTGCAGCCAGTCTCATGTTCAGTATGTGCGATGCAGTGTTTGTTCCAAGTGAAAGGAACTTCCCTGCAGTTTACTATGGCTCGCCGTATTGGGTTCACTGTTTTGGAGGTCCCCAGTGTTGTGACGTTACGGCTGGGGTGCGGTAAACATACGCTATGTCACCAGTGCAGACACTGTGGCCCGTGCATTGGTGAGGAACTTGTCGATAAGTACACACTGAGGCATTGGCGCCGCCACCGCCCCAACACTTGGATATCGCTGCATTGAACAATGCGAGTATGTAGCGCGTTGCATTGATCTGGTAGGCATCCAATCGCTTTACCGCAGTATCGCCCGCGCTAAGCTCAGCCTAATGCCGGTTATCCAATCCGAGGTGGAGCTCGGCTGCACCGTGTGCTGCCATCTGAGACCTATGAGTGCTCCGTACAGCCGGTATCGGCGCCTCTGCCCGGACTTGTCAGTCAAGTCGTTTAATTGTAGAATAAAAAATTGAGTTTCAGACCGTCCCCCGACATGCAGCGATCCTGGTTTTCCGCGCAACATGCGATGCGTGCTCCATTCGCTCAAGTATTTTTTGGATCGCACAAACTGAAATAAAGAAAACTTTCATTTGCACCACGGCAGTGCTATTTTCCGCGACTGCATGCCTTCTGGGTGGATCTGATTACAGACAGGTAAAGAACGTATTTAGACCAGTTTTTCATACCGAAACATACCGTTTCTAGCCTTCTATATATGGTCTGTTCGTAGTTCGATTGTGTGGACCATCACAGAAAGGAATCTTTCCTTGTGACCAAGGTCACCTTCGGTAGGTGGCCGGGGGCTCGCCGTGGTGGTGGGGAAGGCACACTCCTTCGACTGGCTGGTCACGGTATGAGGTGAAGGGTGCCAGTGGCCTTCCTCGCCACTCTATGCCGAACCGTTTGTGGTGATTCACCGACGATCGGGAATGTCAGAGTATCGCAAAAGGGTATACGGTCTGAAGGATTGATGGCATACACTGGGGAAGAGATGTGTGAAATGAGGGGATTGAGTATTTTCAACGATGCAATGACTTGGGGGTGTCGAATCAATACCATGCCTTCCGTGATCGTGAAATGGTCCTTTATGGCTCAATCCAATATTCATTGATTGAATGGCCTTTACATTTTCGAATGTCTAGAACTGCTAAAACACATTTTAGTGCAACTCTGTGACCTCGAAGGTAGTTCGAAATCGAGATAACAGTATTGCAGACATGGGTGTCGATTTCTGACGAGTTGTGGGTCTCCGAGCTCTCCCAATTCCACGCCGGCTTGACTTTGGAGCCGCAATAAAGTGCGCAGGTCAAGGTCACCACTAGGGTTGCGGCGGATTGGTAGTGCTCGGGCACCCGCAACTCGGCGGAACTCAACGCCCATGCTTGTAGAGCTTGTCCAGAAACCTCAGACTCGGACGATTTTAGCAGAAACCTAATCATATTCCGAGATATTCGGCATTGTTTTTATTAAGATCGTGTCAAACTTCTTTATTTTAGGTTATTGCGCAGAGATGTTCTGTAATTGTGCTAATCAGAGCGCTCTTCAAACCCCCAAAAGCAGTCAATCTACCCTGCTAGTTTTTGTTTGGACTTCGTAGAAGTTTGTTGGACGATTGACTTTTATTTTCGATTTCTTGAAGAGTTGGAATATAGGTAAATTTTGTGCATGATAAAATTCCTATAATCAGACTGCCTTAACTACAAGGTTCGATATGGTTCGTGCACGTATGTAATTTATGAATTTGATAACCATTCAATCTCCTCGATTCGTAACTAGTGAGTAGTAACTATAAAAAGCCCCACCCGGCCGGTTGGTGTCAGTGCCGTCGAAGGATGCACTCGATAGTGGGTGCGGCCGTTTGGTGGATGCCGCCACCTACCAGTGACCGCTCGGCTGAGTCACGGGCACCGTCTTTGTGGGAGCATCGCACCGCGATGAGCCGTACACGAAACACGGCGGTAGCATGACCGATGTCGCCGATAAGTGGTCGAGCATTCATTGGGCCGATGTCCTTGGTTCCGTTTTCCTGGCGAGCGGTCGCTTCGGGCCGGCCCGGCGGTCAGTCGCCGAGGCTTTCCTGTGAGCGTGAGGACGCGGCACCATGACGTACGGCGACAGGAAAATGGACGGGTGCGGGCAGCGTCCCCGCCGCCGACACTCCTCACGCGAGAACTGGGCGCTCGGGAGGGAGCGGGACCTCGGCACCAGTGACAAATGATTGTCACAGGCTCTGTTCGCCAGTAGGAGGGGCGAAGTGGATCGCATGGCTGGCCTTATTTACCTACTGAGAACATAAAAAATTGTTTTTTGACGTTGCGGCGCTACTTCGAGTGTGGGCTGCTCAGCTAACACGCCATTAGGAAGTTCAGTCGCGTTTTGTTACGTCTGCCATTCCAGACCTCCTCGTCATTCAGGGCGGTTTTCCTGCCCGTCTTTCCCTAGTCATCGCTGACGCCCATCTTGTGACCTCACGTGCTGTCGACAAACACTCGTTACCTGTGCTGACATTTCGCTTCGTCAGCCGCGATGGGCGAACCTTTGTGATCGTGTCAGGGGATAAATGATAGATCTGCTGCTCCGACTTATCACGGGATAGTTTGTCGGCCATTTTCGACTGGTCGAACATCAGTACCAGGTATTATTTTTCCCTGTATGCTCTGCAATCGTGCATACATCAGCCGCTGGTTATTTTAGCTACCAAACTTTCTTCATTTAGGTACTACGTTGTGCTGTACTCTCGGAATGACGAAATGACTACTTAGAATTCTTGATTCTCCGTCGAGTCGGCTGCATATTAGACTGACCGCACAAGGTTTCAGAGCTCCTGTGTTGTTATTTCGCTATGTTCAGGGCTTACCTGTGCCGTATACCGCGGTAAACGGTCACACCGAGGTAGTACGAGCGACGGGCCTCTTCCGGAGGCTTATCAGAAAGGAGAAGTGATATCTACTATGAAAATGTAAAAATGTTTGTCATGAAAGTGTGATTATGTATTTTGATACCCACCCGCATAAAAGCGATTAGACATTCTTCTGAAAAGACTGCGTTTTTCCATCAGCTTTTGCTGTTTATAGGGCACATATTCGTTTTCAGCATGAACGCTGCCTGGCGGAAAAGAGAACAATTAAACTAACCAGTCGTGAAGGGTGACTGGCTTATCATGACGATTTATGTTTTCACAATATCTAGGCAAAAGGAAGCCACATTATCCGTGAATGTAAAATGAGGTCAGCATCAGAAGCGTTACGTATAGAGCCGCCTCATGAGCGGTGACGGAACTGACGAAAGGCATGCCTGGTGGCTTAGTCGCCCGCAGGCCACTTCAGTTTTCCCCGTTTTGCTCTGATGCTTGCGGTAATATTGCGTTTGACGGCCCATAACGCTGGCCGACGCATAAGGATTTTGCAAGGTCGCCTACTTCCAAAACATAAACATTGACTTCATTCACGGGATCGATAGAAGCGTCGACCCCGTAGGTCCCGCTGTGCTTTGCTTCAAAACACCCATAGCGCTGTCTGCGCGCTGGCACCCGCGCCGGGAAGCCCACTAACCCCCTTCTACCCTCCTCTCCGGCAGGACACATCCGACGACTACCTGGAGATGTTCGTCCAGTTCGGCTACGCCTTCCTCTTCTCGTCCGTCTTCCCGATGGCCGCCTTCTGGGCCGTGTTTAACAACCTGCTTGAGATCCGTGCGGACGCCTTCAAACTGTGCAAGGTCTACCAGCGGCCGCCGGCCAAGAGCGTGCGAAACATCGGGGCATGGATGGTGAGTGGTGGCGCGTGGATGGACTGGTTGGGGTGGCTGGTGGCTGGTGTGGGCCTTTGACTGGGTCGGGATCAGATTGGATGGGATTGATTCCTTTATTGACTGGGCTTGTTGACCTAGAAACTGACAAGACGATGGGCATTGATTATTGGAAATATTTTAAATGGATGGTTTGAGCTGCCATGCTGTCGATGTGGCTGGATCTTATTCATCACTGAGAGACCGGCGCCCAGTGGCGCTGCCCGTTCCGTACCACTCGCACCAGCGGCCGTGCTGTTTGGAATGTTCTCCCCAACTGTTTTTTTTTTTCTAACTACACCGCCACCCATTAATAGGTGACCAGGAGTGCCCCCTCCCTCAGCCCAGCGACTCACAGAACCTTACTTTACCACCAGAGAAAACATAAAAATGGCAAAGTCGCGGCACTCCCTGCTAAGAAACGGAAAACAACTCAGAATAAGCAACCAGTCGGTAAGAGGAAGTCTGGTTAGTTAGAAGAAAAAAAAACAGGGCAAAAGATGTCCCCGCTGAAAGCAGCGGGAGACTAAATCACTACTTCCATTACTATGTTTTATGATGTAAAAGAACACTCATTCAGGGTTAGTAAAGGGACACATACATACATACAAAGCACAGGTTCTGGTCAGTATTCTGCAAAAGGTCATGTGTGACCGGATGAACCCTTCCAGCTAAGCAGAGCTTGTTGCTGGTCGGGGTCACCGGTCACAACGCCGTAAGGGTGGGTTCGGTGTAAGCCGGTGTAAGCCACAGTGACTATGGCTGACAGGCTACGCTACACGAGTAGGTGTTTGGAGGAATTGAACAAAAGACTACAACGTGATACAACGCATGCATATTATTCTATTTGAAAGTACCTTATTTATTTGCATATTTTACTATTGATTATTGATCTTATGTAAACAAAAGCTACACAGGGTGTTCTAGGAAATACTCCTTACTTATTTTCTTTACTTGTAATTTAGACATGTTGATAATGCATTGAGCGTTGAATTGAGTTGCCATAATTTTATTCCAGATGCGAGGCCCAAGCCATGTTACATTACGAGTGCAGTATAATCTTTTTATAAATGGTTCAATGAACTGTTGACGATTTCTGGTCCTTGAATCGCTAGGGTCACTAAGGGTAAATAATCCACCAACAGATGATGGGAGAGAAAAAGAAAGTTTTCTGTGCATTAAGATAATAGCCTGCTGTTTTGCTATATTATGAACTTTGAGAAGCTTGAGGCTTTTGAAAATTTCCTCTGTGTGTGCTAAACGATGCTGATGAGTAATAATACGAATGGCTCGCTTCTGAAGCAACTCAATTTTGTTCAAGTAAGAAGGAAATGTGAATCCCCACACCACACAACAATAATTGATATATGGTAAGACCAGTGAATTGTACAAAAGAGTTAGCAAATGAGTATCAAGGAAAAATTTTGCTCTGCTCATTACCCCAATGTTACGACTGATAACTGTTGTTAAGTGGTCAATATGGAGATTCCATTTAAGGTTCGGATCTATTATCATTCCTAAGTACTTGACTGATTGAACAGCCTCAATAGGATCACCATTTAATGTTACGTTAAGTTCTGCTGGATTGAGTGTATTATTGTAGATTTGATACACTGTTTTCTTTGTGTTAAGGCTAAGTTTATTTGCTTGCAACCACGTGCATATAATGGGCAATTCAACATCAATCATATTTTGAAGCTGGAACACAGTTCCACTTTCAAAGATGAAGACCGTATCATCTGCATACAGTAAACATTGTGCTGTTTTACAAATATTTGGAAGATCATTTACATAAAGTAAGAAAAGCAAAGGACCAAGAATGGAGCCCTGGGGTACACCAATGTTAACATTTTCTATTGAAGATCTTGCACTGTTATATTCTACACACTGTTTTCTATTAGTAAGGTAAGATTCTATCAGGCTAAGTGCTTGCTCAACAATGCCATATTTGCTACATTTTCTTATTAGTATGTCATGATCTACAGTATCAAATGCTTTTTTTAAATCGATGTACAGAGCTATGGCAATGTTGCCTTTTTCAAATACTTTCATTATTGTATCCTGCAGGAGAAGTATGGGCATATATGTTGAAAGTGACTTTTGAAAGCCAAATTGGCTAGCAGACAATATATTATGTTGCAGGAGATATTCCATGAGTCTTTTGTGAATTATCTTTTCAACAAGTTTTGAGATATAAGGCAAAATACTTATTGGTCTATAGTTACACATGCTGCTTTTGTTGCCAGCTTTGTAAATAGGTTTGACAACTGCAATTTTCATGTTTTCTGGGAAGATACCTTTTTCCAAGCAGAGATTAACCAAGTGCACAAGTTCAGGTATTATTGTAGAGTAGGTAGACTTGAATATCTTTGCATTTATACCATCTATACCTGAGCCAACATTTTTCATGGCTTTGATGATCGAGTTTAGCTCAGCTGAATTAGTAGGCTCAAATTTGGATATATGCTCAGCATGATCACTTATTATATAACTTAAAGGGTCTGTGTTGCTTGGAGGAATTTCATTTTTCAGTTTTTCACATATTGAAATGAAGTATTTGTTAAATGAAGCAGCTATGTCATTTTCATCATCCAGTTGTGTACCATTTTCATTGACAAAGCTACTGGGCAAGGACTGCCTACTGCATCCTCCCATGGCACATTTTTTCAAAAGCTCCCACATTTTCTTGGAGTTAGATTTATTTTCTTGAAATTGATTTTGGAAATAATTTTTCTTTGCTACTTTAATGATAATGTTAAGGCAGTTCCTATGCCTATTGTAGGCAAGCTTATTCTCTGTGGTTGGGTTTTTATTTTTTTCTTTGTACAAAAACACTCTCCTATTGATAGATGTTAGTATTGCTGGAGTTATCCAGGGTTTTATAGCTTTACTTTTCCTTGTGCATTTTATTTCAGTGCTAAACATCTTTATTCCTGAGGAGTATGCATCTATGAGAATGTTTGAGGCAATGTTTGGGTCTGTAGTTTGTGAGAAATTTCGCAGATGCTCAGTAATATAGTCTTTGAGATTGTCCATTCTGTTTTCATTGAAGATGAGCTTATAAGTATCATGTCTTTTGGCATCTTTGTGAGGGTAAGAGCAGGTAAAGATAGGAAAGTGATCAGAGAGATCTTCATATATAATCCCAGAGCAGGAGACCAGTTCAATATTGTTGCAAAAAATATTATCAAGCAGAGAACCCCTTTCATCAGAGATTCTTGTTGTTTTAAAGATAGTTGGCCAGAAGCCATGAAAAGCAAGTGTATTGAAGAATTCTAATGTTTTGTTATTATTTGCAATATTGAAGAGGTCATGGTTAAAGTCACCTGCCAAGAAGGTTGTCTTATTCTCATGATTTATATTCTCAAGCAACGATTCAAGTTCACAGCAAAAAATGTCACTGTCCAAGTCTGGAGGTTTGTATATAGCTCCAACAATGCATGTTGGATAACTATCGACTTGGCATTCTATGATAACTGATTGAGTACATTGTAGGGTTTTAATTTTAGATCTGAGTGAATGTTTAACTGATTCAGTATTTACATAAATTGCCACCCCACCTCCTATTTTGCCATTCCTATTCTCAAAATAACCTGTATATCCAGGAAGTTGTCTATTTGAAATTTGGTCGTCCGATAACCATGTTTCAGTGATGCAAATGATATGCCAAACACAATGACTTCTGGTCAAAAACAACTGAAGTTCTTCAAATTTATCATTTGAGCAAATAGACCTGGCATTTATATGAATGATATTCAAAAGATAGTGTGATGATTTATTTGTATCAAACATTGACGGAAGAGAGAAATAGCCACAAGAGGATTGTAGGGTTTTAAAGCTGTTGTCATCAACCTGCAGTTCAGGTGAGGTGATATTGGCAAAGGGATTAAATTGTTGGCTATTTAGAGGTTCTGGGATATCAGAACACTCTAAGAGGTTCATGACAAATGTCTATACTGTAATTTAGGTACTATACCTTGTTTTACGGATTTTCTGATAGGACAGACCAAGAGACCAAAAAAAGCAGGCGCTCTCGGTACTCGGGGAAGCCCAGTTCAAGCGTTTTGTCAGAGGGGCCAGATAAAAGAAGAACTTTAGTAGTGGGATTTATTATAACACTAAAGGCCTGGTCGGAATCGGCTGACAGAACTTTGTCAGCCGAGAATAAGCCCCGCCCACACCGCGCTGCTGATGGGCCTGTTCATAATCGGCTGACAGGAAACGTCAGCCCAGATGGCGCTGAGATGCTAAGATGGCGCTCGACAGATAGGGCTGAGACTTGAGAGAGGTAGCATTTTCGCGCTTTTTTCAACGACTATCTTCCGTTAGTCGTTACATTATATTTCTGAGGTTTATTTGCCGAGGCTATAGAACAAATTACAGGATTGATAATAATTGAGGCGGTGCTGGCGTTTCGATTTGTAGGTACTGTTTTCAGGCTGACTCGCACATTGTGCCATGAAAAAGAAATAATTGCTATCCTTCGCGAAAAATATTAAATACAAAATACGTCAAAAACATTGTATATAAAAACTAACCACCTGCACTATAAAGCTGCGCTTTGACTTACATGCGCCACTTTCGAGCCACTTTGAATTTCGGCTGACGTGCTGCTGCCTTCTCCCAGCAGCCGAAAAGGGACAACACTATTCGACCGCCACCCTTGCAGCCACTCTATAACTCAGGAACTACTGGACCGATCGGAACGAACGAAACACCATTCGAATCAGGGGGTACGATTTTATCAGCCGTTTCGAAGCTCGTGACCCCAGGTGACCTCGGTGACCTCAAGAGGTCAACTCGGCATTGACGCCTATTGCAGCCATTCTATAACTCAGGAACTACTGGGCCGATCGCGACGAAAACACCACCAGTCGATTCAGCGTATGCGATTTCATCAGCCGTTTCGAATATGGTGACCTCAGGTGACCTCGGTGACCTCGAAAGGTCAACTTTACGTTTTCGCCTATTGCAGCCATTCTATAACTCAGGAACTACTGGGCCGATCGTGACGAAAACACCACCATTCGATTCAGCGTATGCGATTTCATCAGCCGTTTCGAATATGGTGACCTTAGGTGACCTCAGTGACCTTGGGAGGTCACATGACCGTTGTGGCCTATGGCAGCCATTCTATAAGTCAGGAACTACTGGGCCGATCGCGACGAAAACACCACCAGTCGATTCAGCGTATGCGATTTCATCAGCCGTTTCGAATATGGTGACCTCAGGTGACCTCGGTGACCTTGGGAGGTCACATGACCGATGTGGCCTATGGCAGCCATTCTATAACTCAGGAACTACTGGGCCGATCGCGACGAAAACACCACCAGTCGATTCAGCGTATGCGATTTCATCAGCCGTTTCGAATATGGTGACCTCAGGTGACCTCGGTGACCTTGGGAGGTCACATGACCGATGTGGCCTATGGCAGCCATTCTATAACTCAGGAA